GAAAAAATAAAAAATATATTTTTTTATTCTGGTGATGCCTATTGAGTATCACTATTGGACATACAAATCTTACAAAAATCTTAATGAGTCTCATAGGTTAAATTACTAATTAAATTAATACTAAAAAATGTTAATGATACTCATTGAGTTTCATGAATAAACATGCTCTTAGAGCGCACACAACGGTGATACATTAATGGTATCAGGAGATTAAATTTATTAAAAATAATTGAAAAATTGATTTTATGCACAACTTTTTCTCTGATACGTATCAAAGGGGTGAGACGGAAGAAACATATCACTGGGACACGTGACAGCTTTTTAGTGGGTGCTACTCTCTAAGTGGTATCATGGAATATAAAATTATTAAAATTTGAGTAAAAGGAAGAAAGAGAATGTTTTTGATTGAAATAATGGGGTGTATTGAAATATAAAATTAATAAAATTTGAGTAAAGAGATGAGATAGTTAATATTTTTGGAGAGAGAGTATCAAATAGTGGATACTTTTGATACTTTTGAAGAGAGAAATAGTGTGTTTTTAATAATTTTATATTTAAAGAGAGTATAAAATTAATAAAAGTTGAGTAAAAGGATGAAAGAGAAGGTATAAAGTTGAGTAAAAGGAAGAGAGAGTGTGTGTTTTAATAATTTTATATTCCATGATACCACAAAGGTATCATGGATAATGATGCCCTAATAGGTTAGCATAATCTCCACGAAGATGATGATCCACTTGTCTGAATCCAACAATGTAAAAACTTGTGCTCTTATAATCGTTCTGTTTTTAGCACAACACACAATAACTTTATTCTCCACGTCCACCATGAAACTCCTCATCGTATATGTAAACACAATTTTATTCAAATCCAAATCCACCGTAAAAAGTATGTTCCACGACACGTTTTTGGTCTCATCAATCTTGTTACTCACCCATATCTCTAATGTATTTTCCTTCTTACGTAACAATGCAAGCTGCTCTTTTCTTACATTGGATACCACCGAAGTACCACCGCAACCCGTAAACGGCAAACACAAACGTTGAAATCTCTCTTTTGTAAAATCGAATTTTAAGCCATTTTCATTGGAAGCTACCCGATAAATATTTCCCTTAAAAGACACGCCAACATCACTAATTGTCGATACCCACTCGGGATTGATGTCATCAAGAACCCTCCATGAATTAGATTTAACCTCATAGATTTCAAACTCAAAAGTAACAACCGAGTTACTGTGTCTACTCAAATGCCTCAATATTTTATAGTTATCCCAACAAGATTTGTTGTTTTTGTATCAGAGGGCATACATATCGAGTGGTTTGTAAACAATTCTGGGTTTGATCTACCTGATTTGCCCCGTACACGGGTTATAAACCATGAGGCCATCTCCACAGATGGTATATGTGGTGCATAGCAATAATCCGTCGCAGTGAAAAAATTCTTGTATCCAGGTAAATAAGACGTTATTACGATCAAGTTGGCCAAGTTGATCCTTAGTCTCTATAGTTGGATCAATGTTGTTGTGTATCCGATTGAGATTGACACTCACTGAATAAAATCTACGATTATTTAGCAGGAGAACTACAAACTCCCTTGGTGCTTTGTCAAAGTGCTTTTGGTGAATCTATGGTCACTGAATAATACATTCCATTGTTTGCAAGTAGATCGTAATCGTTTCAAAGATATAGTCGGAACCCTAGCAAGTATCTCCTCTACTAAATCATCGGGAAGATCGGATAGGATCATGGTTTCTCTTGTGATGATCGGAGCGGTGTAAATAGAAATTAGGGTTTAAACTTTGACGTTTGTCTTTGCAGTGTAGGATTATATAGTCAAAGATAATCGAATTTTGTTGTTTTTAAAAAGGGAATCTACGGAACTTGTAAATGCGTGTGTTGTCCCTTTTCCTTTTCTTACCCCGTTAAAGAAAAACAAACAACAATATATAGTGCTAGAGTATGAGATTGATCGAGCAAGAATCACAACAAATGGTATCATAGCTTAGGTTACAACGTTGTAAAAAAAAACGAGTCAATTCTCATAATTAGTTAACTCACTATCAAGATCAGTCGATAAATTAAGGTTAAAGAAACTCGATTCTCTTAATTAGTAAGAAGAAGAAAGGAAGTACCTAAAGAAAGAGGATTGAAGTCTAAGTGAACATGGAACCTACCTAAAGAAAAATTATATAGCTTTAACCTTTCACGACATTAATATTTGACAACACAAAGGAGGAGACATAATTCCCGCAAAGAGCATCATCTTTACCAAAAGGTCAATAATATATATTAGGATTTCGACGATTGGTTTTTCATATCACCACCACAATATGAAAAAGGAAGCAAAAAGAAAAAAAAAAGTTTTATAAAAAGAAAAATCTTACATTGGTTGAGTCAAACTAACGCAACTTGGAAGGGTAGCCAACTTGGAACATAGGTAAAGAGAAACGGCGTTCAATCACTTGATGATTCGTAATCGAGTTCTCTGTACATCCTGTTATTGTTATTCTCCTCGCGTCTGTCACAACACACAACCACTTTCTTCTCTTGGTCGAAAACGAAACTCAGACAACCCGTAACACGAGTAAGCTGAGAGGGTAAATCCAACGTAAAGGATTTGCTCCACGACAACACACCTTCAGTATCAATCTTGTCACTCACCCATATCTCCATCTGTCGTGTTTTAGAGCTCCATTGTAACACCGAAAGTTGCTCTTCTCTTACAACTGAGATCTTTAGTATAGAAACCAGGCTTCAAAACCGGAAGACACAGGTGTCTAAATTCCTCTCTTGTGAAATCAAAACTCAGAATCCCGAAGTTCGACAAGGCAATAGAAAGCCAATAAGAATTTCCCTTTAAATATGCACCCCTCGAAAGACAGGCTATATGCATCTCGGGATGGATATGCATCTCGAGAGTGATGTCAGCATAAAACCTCCACGAATTAGATTTTAGGTCAAAAATCCCAAAATCTTTACTGCTACCATGCTGAAAACTCACGATTTTGTAGTTGCTGTTTTCGTAACCTAGAGCATACCAATTGGATCTACTGTAAACACTTGTTGGTTTGATCCACCTGGTTTGACCAGTACACAGATTCACAACCACGAGTTTAATGTTGCTCTCTTTCGTGGTGCATAACAATAAGCCATTGCAGTAAGATACTTCAGATATTTTGACCGACTCGTTTAGGCTTCTGCCAAGTAACTCTATAGATGGATCCACAACATTATTATCGTTGTGACTTACGTTGAGATTAAGACTCAGCGAATAAACATTAAAATTACTCAGCATGAGGACCAAGTGCTGCTTTTCTGCTTTTTCCAAGTGCTTATTGATGAACTCCGGTTCTCTGAATAAAGCATTCCATTGTTTGTTAGTAAACCGTAATCGTTTTAAAGATCTTGCCGGAACTCTAGAGAGTATCTCCTCTATCAATCCCTTGGAAGATCGAACATCGCCAAAATGTTTCTCTTGTTGATCCCTAATCTTGAAGAAATCATCAGGAAAAAAAAAAAAAAAAGGTCCCAACCGTCGACGAGGACGGCTTCACGATTTTTTACTCTATGGGAAAAAGAAGACGCAGGTATTAGGGTTTCAGGTTTATTATCGGTTTCATGTACATCTGTCATGGATAGTTAACTTTGGTTGATACAGATCGATAGTAAACCGGATAAATATTTTTGTTTCGTAGTAAACCGTTTAATTGGAGAAAAACGGTGAGTGATAGTTTCAACAAGAATTTCCAATGAATCCCCTATTGGTATATTGACTCGATATTATCAAATTTAACTACTGAATGACTGAAGGAAAAAAGAAACAAATTAGTGTGATCAATTATAAATGTGTATTTTATTTGTTCACCTCGTTGGTACATTCATGTCATAGACTCATACTCGTTGTCCAAGTATGTATAACATGGACAACAGAACATGTCCACCTAATTTATTATTATATATAACATGGTTGGATAGTATTAGTATAAACAGAACAGTAACATGTTACATGTGTTTTTTTTTATACATATATGTGGCTGGATTTGTTATTCATGCATGTCTTATTTTATACTCGGTAACAAAAAACAACAGAGTACATATGATCAGGATATGATGATATCTAAGGGCGTGACGGAAGTTCTTGACCGTTGATAAAAGAACGGAAAAGCGCGAGAGCTTCTTCAGGTTTATTGAGAGGAACCAAGTGTCCAGCTCCTCTCACCGTTACGAACGTTAATCCTCCGTCATACTCCGTTATCCTCCCTCCCACCTTTACAATCACATACAAAAAAAATACATCTAGATAAATAAATACCTACAAAAAATGTATAATCTACGATGATTTAGGCTAACAATTGTATTTTTCGATAGCGGAGAAACATTTAACCGTACCAATTTAAACTTGTTTGGCTAAAAAATCACATACTATATGTGTTAAACGTAATCGACCAAAAAATGAATGCATAAATCATAAATAATTAATAAACCGTAACCTGATGATTATGGAACCAAGAACGCCACTCAGATTTGACTGAAAGACCTAAAGCTTCAACACAATACCGACTTCCGATCACCGGCACTCTTCCGTCGGCGTCTCCACTGTTACATCGAGTAAATATTTAATGCTTCATCACACCATTAAAAGAGACTAGAAATATCTCTATCAATTTAACAAAAAAGGAAAGAAATATATTTCTATAAAAGAACATTACTTGTCAAATACAAAATTATATACTACAAAACATTAATTTCCATCTGTAGATTATTCGCTTGACAGGTAAACAATCATTCGAATATCTTTTTTTAATAACGAGATAAATCCAAAAGACATACGTACAAGAGTTTCGTATGTCAATCATAGTTATTATATACCATCTTCGGTGGGTTGGTTTACTTCATGAGTCTCGTGGTTAGATTCCTATCAATTACCAATATATATAGAAATTTTAGTTATTATATACCATCTTCGGTGGGTTGGTTTACTTCATGAGTCTCGTGGTTAGATTCCTATCAATTACCAATATATATAGAAATTTTCCAAATATTATTTCTTAATATTATTATATTTTCAAAACTACCCCAATTATTTAAAATATCACAAAAACGGTTGTGAAAAAATCGATACTTTTCTACAAATTATGATACTCATTTTCAAAAGACTAAGAACCAGTCCTTCAACTATTTTTGTGGTATTTTTTGAAATGTCTCATAAATGTGTATGTTTTGTGTAAATTATTCGCTTTCTTTCAAGAATCTCTTGCATGTTTTTTATGTTTCAATGATGATATTTTTTTTGGTAATTAGTTTCTAAACAGTTGGGGGGAAAAAGAGCTGAATTTGTAAATAATTTTGTTAGATTTTATATATATAATGATACCACTATTGACTTAAATTAAAAACCATTTTTTAAAGGAAAAAACAGCAATTACAGTGTACCTATAAACCCATATCTTGAGACCAGCTTTGATGAGCTTACTATAGGTAGGCAACATTGAGGACACCGTGAATTGGTATGTGTGCAATATCGAATCACTGTTAATATTAATATAGAAAAAATACATATAAAATTTAAGATTTCACCCTTTTTGTATAATATACATAAAATTAGGAAATCCAGACTTAATAATTAATATAAAACTTACTTGCAAACTTGCCATCTAGTTACACCTCGTGCAGTGGCATGAAGAGCGGATCGAACATCGACCCTATTGAAATATTTTTCAGCGTAATTAGAGTAACAAGGATCATATCCTTCAAACCATCTCACTCTTTTGAACCAATCTTTGGTTGCCGGAGAATTATAATCTCCGGCACCTAAGAAAGAAGCTCCTGATGAGCTATTGATGATGCACTTGGGAGCATATATGTTATAAATATCAATCTCTTTGTATTTTTGGAACACTGTGGTCATAGCCATGTTGCATGGTTCTGACCAATTCGAAGACTTGAAGTCACAATTACGCTTTGCGGTGTCGTAGAGATTGTCGGATATCACTGCATGGCTCCATGCGTATTCTAGAATCCCTTTGTTATCGTACTCGTCGTCCGTCAATGGATTTCCAACCTAAGTTGACAAAATTAATAAAGCGGTTAAACTTATATTGGTTTTGTTAACCACAACGAAAATGCGAATATATATTTAGAATATATAACATTGATTAAAAAAGACTGTGAAATTATGTTCTAATTTTCATTTTTTTTTAATTTGTTAGGGATTCATAATTATATTTTCATTTTCAATTATGCTATACGTACGGAACACCAGTCAGATCTAAACATTGTTGATTAAAAAGTTTCTTCTCAAAAAGAGTACATCGGTCGCATTTGGATTAAAGTTACACTTTCCTCGTGCACGTAGTTAATGTATAGTCACACTCGCAAATATAATAATATACGTACGATGAGGCCTTTGAGATTGATGAAGGAGTCCTTTGGTTTAACTTTGTTTCGATCGTATATAACCTCGGCTAGCTGAGGTGCGTAGTGACCTGTTAAAATTGTAAACCCATACCATATCACATTTTACAATTTTCAAACTAATTAGATAAATCACTTTTTATTTCCATGTTTCAGTTAATAGAAAGAAAAATAACATAGACTAAATAATTAAGCTCACCGGCATAGCTTTCACCAGCGATGAAGAAATCACGAGACTTATATTGAGGATACCTTGCAAACCAAGCAACCATGAAGTTGTATGCATCTTCCGCTGTTCCAAAACATTTTTCTCATTAATTTCCACCATTCCCCTTAAGTTAAGAGTATGTTATTAATTTTATTGATTTAAATTCTCAATGCTAAAAAATGGCCACCTTATTGTGGACTTACTTACCAACGAAACTATCGTTGAGGTTGTCTAAATCGGAAGATGAGTTGGTGTACGAAAACCCTACTCCAACCGGTGATTCTAAAAACAACATATTCGCTTCTGAAATTTTATTAACAAATGTTTTCGTGAGTTTATAATAAAAAAAAGCTAATTATTAGACATTATTGTTAG